TACCTTCCAAGGCCCTGAGCAGTTTTGCATCTCTCCCTGCCCTGCTAGAACCTTCCACAGAACAGCAGCACCTCAAATCGGCTCAGAGCAGAAGGGGACCTTGGGAAGACGTTGCTGTGCCCCCATGGTGCCCCACTGCTGCACAATTTCATTTCTCAGTGATTCTGTCCGATAAAATTTCATCGTCCATTAAGTAATCCCTGAAATGAGAGCTCTTATGAGCCTATAATGAGCTCTAATTGCCACGACTCGGGGAGCCACGTGGAAGGATTTATTTGGTATTAAGCAGTCGGGTACAGAGTACAGGCTGTTACCTAAGCCATTACTTTCATAATTCAAGGAGAAAATTAGTTCTTTTAAGGGGGGGGGATCCTTTGATTTTTCTCCCGCTTCCCCAGGATGGCAGGGAATGGCTTTGTCTTCCTTGAGTGCAAGACAATGTCACAAATTCAAAGGTAACAAAATTGTCCATCCCCAACCCCTGCCCAGTCTGGACACCCCACCCTTACCCTCAACTGAGAAAAAAATCAAAGCGGTTCAGAGGTGCCACCTTCTGCCCCTGGACTCCCCAACTTGAGCCTGGATGAGCAGTTTCCTCCCAGCTCAAACTTGAGATTTGAATTCTTGGGTGTAGCTTTCAAAAAGCCTTCCAGTACTTCACCCCAACCCGGAATCACACCGGACCTGAACCCCATATTCCCTTCTTCTGTCTTCCTCTTTCCTCTCAGGGGCAAAGTCAGAGAAAGGAGAGGGTGGGGACTTAGCGTTGCTTATTCAACAGGCTCTAGAGTTCTGACCCGCTGAAGTGCTCAGCCGTTTTTTTCTGGCTGTAACTCCCACTTTGCCCCTCCCTCTGAGCCCCCCAAAGCACCCCCCTCCATCCCTAGTCGTTTTTTTTCCTCCCAGTTTCAGCGTTTGCCCACAGGGCTCTGCCCCAAACCCAGGCGGTGAGCAAGGCGGGACAGCCCCGGAGTTGGCGGGGCCGCCTCGGATTTATTTGCTTCCCTTACATTGATTTCATATTAGTTTCCAAAGCGATGAATGATCTCAAAGCTGGGTTTTGTTAGCCGAATACAAACAGGAGACAGGACTTACTTGCCCCCAGCTCCCTTTAATGAGGTCATTATCAAAGCGTGAACAAGCCTATGAATGTTTTACTGAAAGCGCATCGTTAACTTGT